TCTACACTGGCTGTCTCCACACCTCCTCCCAGACCTTCTCTGTCTACACTGGCTGTCTCCACACCTCCTCCAGACCTTCTCGAACCCTCTGCACTGACTGCTCCACTTCCTTGCTATCCTCCTCCGTCTTCTCCCAGTTTGTGGAACTTCTCCAGGTCCCTCCTTGGACCTCTGTCACTCTTATCACCTCTGGGCCTCACCCGTCTCTGTTTTAATGCCACGTGTATTCTGATGACTCCAATGACTATTTCCAGGCTGAACTCCTGAACTGTGTATCTGCCATGTCCATTTGGTCCTCTGCTAAGCATGTCAAGCTTACCATGTCCAGCACAGAGCTCCCAGTGTTCTCCCCAAGCCAGTTACTCCTCCATGGCCCCCAGTTAACAGCAATGCTGTTCTTGCAGGGCCACGTCCTGAGCTGTCCCTCTCTGCTCCTCTCAGTTGGTCAGCAGACCCTGTCAGCCCTGCCTCTGAAATACAGCTGACATTTGAGGCTGCTCTCGGTACTGTCACCGTGCTGGTCCCACCCACCACCCTCTCCCCCACCAGCCTCCCCACTGGTCTCCCTGTGTCCGTGGGCAGCACGACAGCCAGACTGGCCTATGGCAGCCCGGTCAGCTTGTGCTGTACCTGCTCGCACCCTGCTCCGCTGACCTCATTTCCCACTGAGTAAAGGGTGAGTCTCGGAGGTCGGGGCCTGGATGCTTCCTGCTTCTCCCTGTCTTCGTCGTCTACTCTGCTTCTCCGCAGACCAGCTGTGGTGGATGTCTTGACTGTGTCTTGAGGGCACCAGACACTGCCTGCCCCAGGCCTGTGCACCTGCTGCGCCCTGCCAGCCTGCAGAGCTCGTCCCTCCATAGCTGCATGCACCCCCCACTCACTTCAGTGATTGCCCTAAAGCCCTCTTATCAACGAGGCCTCTTTCCAGCATCCTAATTAAAATTGCACCCCCCCCCCCCATCCTGTGGTGTTCACTTCCTGGTGTGTTATTCAATCCTGTCTGTCGTCTTTCTTTCCCCCAGAATGACTGCTGTACGGAGTCACGGATCTTGCTTTGTTCAATCTTGGAGCCACGGTTCTTAGAACAATGGGGAAACGCTGTAGGTCTGGATCCATAGTTGTTTCACAGATGAGTGAACATAAGTGTGGGCAAGGGCACGTCTCCCCACAGAGCTCTCTTCCACCACTGTCCTTCCAAGTGCACATTTGGAAGGGATTCCGTCATCCTCTGAGTTGAATGATTTTTCCTTCTTAGCCACAGCACTACTGCCATCTTTAGCCAACAGGATTTTCAGTTACTGGGAAATGGCAGTAATAACTGTAGCTGTGCATTTTAACCAGTTGCTCCATGAGTGCTCATGGGTAGCAAGAGCTGGCTATCAGCAGAGGCTGAATTGTTACTAGAAAAGAGAGAGAGATTGGGGGCAAATAGCTCTATTATTTACCAACTGTGTGACTCTGGGCAGTTACGGAATCTCTCTGGACCTAACTAGAGACAGTGTCACACACTTCTCTGAGCTGCTGAAGGCTGTGTGTTCAATGTGTGCATGAGTTCAGACCTTGTCCTGCTGTCACCAGCATAGAATGACTTCATGAGAAAGAACAGTTATCGTAGCCTTAATACGTCTGTACACTTTTGCAAGCATTACCGGTACTGCTCCCGTTATTCCCTGCGTGGGTAGGAGTGAGCCTGTATCCATGGGGAGAGTGGCACACAAGGATAGCACTTGAATAGGTGGGACCTGTCTTAACTGCTCCGTGGCTGACTCGAGGGCGGAGCTGGCTAGACCCAGCGGTGAGTTTGGCAGGCTGGCTGACAGCTGTGCCCCCTGATTTCATGACCACTCTGCTTTACATGTGGCTCCCAGACACTTGGAGGTTAAAAGTCACAGTCTGGTGTAACAGGAGGGGCCTTGTCCCCTGACCTCTTCCTACCTCTGCCGTCTACATCCCCCCAACCAGCTGGCCCGTCCACTCTCACCCTTGGTCTCCCCATCTTCTCTGTGCCATCGGCTTCCTCCCTGGGATGTGGACGCACCTTCCTTCCTGTGTCACCTGACAGGTCCTCACTTGTCCTTGGAGACTCATCTCGCGGTTACTCCTGGGGTTCCCTCTTTTCCACCCCTACAGGAGGAGATGCCCCGTCTCCGAGCGCCCACAAAGCCCTTTGCTACTTCAGTTCCTGTATCACGACCCTGCGTTACAGCTGCTCCTCAGCTCATCCCTTGTCCCGGGATGTCACGGGGCCTTGACCTGATGGATGCTCAATGAAATGTGGTCGTGTGACTGAGTGAAGCGCAGCACTTGTTGTCAGTTATGAGGTGAGGGGGCAAAGCCATTTCAATCTCCATTTCAAAGCCATTTCACGGACAAGGAACTGGGGTATACAGAATATTGAGACGCGTAACCGCACCTGGCACACTAGCCCTCAGGCCCCTCAGCCCCTCGGGGTCGATCTTCAAAAGGTTCGAGGGACATCCCAGCTAGTCTGAGGCCAGAGGATGAGAGGGACCCCCTGTCACAGGTACAGCCCAAGCCCTACCCTGAAGGGCCACGGGCAGGACCCACGGAAGCCGCGGCCATCAGGAGGGCGAGTGGGCAAAGGGGAAATGGCTGGCTTTGCTCCACAGCACGTGGTACACCCAGATCACATTGCGGTGGAGCGTACCATGGGTCTGTGACGGGGCATCACAAGGAGAGTCACCGTGTGACCCGGGTGTCCTAAATGGAACAGGGTCAGCTTTTCCTGTCTCACGGCTGCTCACTGGGACCCCCACTTCTCTCAAGGCCTGCCCTGTGCAGGGCCCCTGGCAGCCTTCCAGCTCCGTGCTGCCGGGGTCCCACGCCCGGGGATCTCCAGATAACCCTGGCTTCTCGCCTGGAAAGTCTAATGAGTAAGACAAGATTTCAAGTCAGCCCCATGAGGGCTGAGAAAGCCGGGGGCCGGGCGGTGGAGCCTCTGCCTCGCACTCTCCTCCACCGACACTTTCAAAATAGCAACCGTTTCCTCCCGCTCAGCCTGCCCCTGGCCAGCGGGCTTTCAGGTGGTCTAACACAGCGGGCCCCTGGGTGACGGCACAGAGGCCCCAGCCCTCCCCCCGCATCCCCACAGGCAGGAAAGTCACCTCAGCTGGCCAGCAGGAGAGGAAGTGGAACCAAGGGCACAGCCCAGGAAGCCACAGGTCACCAGGGCCGGTCTAAATGCTGATGGAGCAGTGGAGAGGACGGATGGTGTGGAAACTTCTGGATCCTCCACTCGGGGTCCCGCTGCCTCCTGCCTCTGAGCCTGCCACCGGCACAGCACCTGGCCTCTGGCGGTCTCTCAAATGTCACGTCCATCATTGAGTCAGGGAAGGGGAGAACACAAGCTCGTCCCCAGGAGGTGGCCGGGTGCTTGCTAGCGTAGGAAGAGCAGAGAGGAAGTAACTTGGGGTGAGCAGGAGGTGAAGGAATAACGGAAGTGTACTTCCAGGCAGCTGCTGCGATGGCCGCAGAGTTTGCAGTACACACCATCACTCAGCAGATGCCATCTGGAGATATTTTATGTCACAATGAAGACCTAACTGGGGCAGGGGACCACGTCAGGGGTCTTGGGCTTGGATACTGAGAGACAGTGCCATGGCTGCTCAGGCAGGGCCCTGGCCCTCACAGGTAGAGCAACCTGGAGGTGTAGTCAAGGGAGGGTGACCGGCCGCAGGGACGGCACGCGGAGCCCTGAGTCAGCAGCGTCCTGGGTGCCACTGATCCCTGTGGGAGAAGCCAGGTGCTGGACAGTGGCCCCCGAGGTTCTGCGTGAAGTGAAGACTGGGCGAGTTAATTCTCTGCCTCCTGTTTGAGGGGACCCAGGGTTGACTTTTGAGAGGAGCTGGCCGATGCTGGAGGTTCTGAAGCCCCGTCCACCTGCCTCTGCGCCCGCCTCCGTGGCACTGTCACCTGGGTCCTCCCTGGAGTGGGCTTCCAGACGGCCTCGCTCTCGTGGAGAAGGAAAGGGCCCTGTGGCCGGTCATTAGCTGAATCTCAGTACGTTCCGGAATGTGCCTTTGTGATCCAGGCTCTCAGGCTGGACTCAGATGAGCTAGTTCTGTCAGACACTTGTGTCTGCCTGGTTCCACTCTGATTTTCTGAAGACCACCTCCACCACCCTAGAGAGGTGTTTGCGAAGGGCAGCCAGGTTCTCGTGGTCAGTTCTCCCCTGTGACAGGTTCGATACGGGAACGGGCATTTCATTCAGTGTCCCCCAGGAACTTCTGAGTGGGCCTAAGGATTCCAGTGTGGCTGGGACCTTGAAGAGACCCAGTGGAGTCCAGGTGGCTGTGACGTACCGCGTGTCCTGTGTCCAGGCAAAGGAGTCCACCCTGCTGGGAGGGGACCTGGGCTGGAGAGAGAAGCCAAGCCACTGGGGCCTCTCAGCTGCTCCCGGCCCGGGAGCTGCTCTGCTCGGGGACTGCCTTATAGCAATCCCTCCTCTCTAAACTGGTCCCAGATGTCCTGTTACCGCAACCTGGACAGCAACTGTCAACCCCTGTGGCTTCAGGGGCAGAGGTCTCGGTCTCCATCCTGAGCCACATTCCATCACCCTGGAGAGTGTCCTTAGGTCAGGCTCCCGTGGCATTAACAGCTGCAGGCAGCGTGTAGGATCAGAAGAGAGCGCAGCCCCTTTGGGATTCAAAGTGTGTGGGTGCTTGATGAAGACGTCCCCTTCCTTGTATTCTAAAGTAAAACCAAGCAAGACACTTGACTTAATAGGATTTTTTTTCCAAGAAGAAAAGACGTTAGGGATTCCAAGTTAACATCCCAAGACGGATCAGATTGTAGAAATGCTGAAGCTGAGAATCAGGCCCGAGGGAAAGGCCCACGGTGAGTGGTAAGGCCCAGGGCGGCCCAGGCACCTCACACTGTCCTTGGTTTCCACGGAGGGCACCGTCACCCTGTGCAGGATCCAGTCCAGAGACGTTCCAGGACCAGGACTCAAAGCCAGCCACCATCTGTCTTTTCCCTCCTCCATGAATCCTTCCTTACAAAGCTTTTTGAAGATGCTCCAGGAAGACAAGGAGGGTAAAGGAAGAAAGGGGCCGATGTGGGCCCCGTGAGACAGTGGGTCTAACTCCCGACAGCAGGAGTGGGATCCAGCCACGACCCTGGGAAGCAGGGCTCAGGGGAGGGCTCCTGCCTGGGCAGAGGGCAGCGCTTGGCCAAGAAAGCCAGCGTTGGTGGTTGTTTGCCCATGAGACGAGTGACATTTAAAAGAAAGGTCAGTCAAAAGCTCCAAGGAAAACAGATCCTGAACCAAGAAAGGAGTGAAATAATTAAGTATCACCTGGATCTGCAGTCGCAAGGCTTTAATGTTCCCAAGAATATAGCCTTTAATTATTTTTCACATTGAAATAATAAATAAAGCTTAATATTCAGATTCTTTAGTGTGCAAAATCATTTTAGACATCTTAAATAACAAAGACAGATTACTGGAAGGTTCTACATGCATCTGTTTTCTGTTGCTATGGCAAAATACCTGAAGCT